ACGGCGACCCTAGCAACTTTGTTACTTAGGTCGGAATAAATTGAGACCCCCCCTAAATGAAAAAAAAATCACTGCCGGGGATACAAGGGTACACCGTCGTAGCCAACTGGGGAAGGCGGAAGTGGCGAAGGTTGCACTTTGTTATTGTGCCTGCTTCACCATGTTCCCAACACGGCGGTGGCAGCGAAGGGCCTCGTGGGTGCATGATGGCGAGCCTCAGACGAGGGACACGCCGCAACCCAAGGGCGCGTCAGATGCTGCGGCGGGTGAGGGTGAGGTTAGGTCCTTCCCCGCCCCTCGCAAACCGCATGGTGCGTGCCAGGGAATCGGAAAAAGTTTCCATTCGGAAATCTACCAGTCGATGCAGTCCCCAACCTGTTTCCGCCGCAACCCGGATTAACATTTCCAAGTGATATACATCGACCTCTGCCGGGCTCGAACCTTGGGCCTCCCGCTTGGGCCTCCCCCCAAAAATAGTATAATGTAGGTTCTAGGACAGCTCCAACTAACCCCCAACTAACTCGTGTACGGCACCCCAACCCCCCTCACCCGTACAGGCGGTAGCGTGGCAGTCGGCAGCTGCGCGAGTGTGAGCAGGTAGTTGTACGGCGGCCCAGCTCGGAAGCTACCGGACTGTAGTGGTGCACACGGGCAGTTGGTGATAGTCGGCAGGCGCGCGAGTGGGAGCTGGCAGTTCAGCGCGCACGCGTCTGGGAAGCTGCGTCTGAGCACGGTTGAGCACGGCGGGTGTGGTGGTTGGCGCGACGCGCGAGTGGGAGTGCACAGTCGTGCGCGCGCCGTCTGGGAAGCTGCGTGTGCGAGCTGCATGTAAACTCAGACGCATGGGGCTGACCCGGTTTCCATAAGCTGGCTATGGGCGCACACGGTTCCACACGCTTGAGAGTTGGGCTGCAGCGCGGGCGGGACTCGCTGGAGTGCATGATAGTCGCTGGTGGGCACGCGCTGGCGGAGCGCGGGGGAACTCGGGGAAACTCGGAAAAAAGTGGTGGGGAATTCCTGGGGAATTCGCGCAAAACTTGGGCGAAACTCGGGAGTTGCACCAGGCTGCGACAGCGTAAAAATAATTGCAGAATTTGATATATTTTGCGAGATATGTAAACATGGATGCATCAGGTTACTTTCATCGCCTTGCGCAGCGCGCGATAGGCGTCGGGGCTCAGGTCCTCCTGCAGCTGCTTCGCAGGCAGCCATTCCGCTTTAGGGAACCCTTTGAATTTTACTAAGCCCTTTAGCTTGCCACCAACATACTTGTTGGTCGCCTCGAAGCGTGATACCTTGTAGTGTGCTTCACCACGCACCTGCTCGCGCTTGCCCTTCCTGTTACCGCCGTGTGCAATATGCGCTAGTGGCATGTGCAATGCAGAATACAGCTAGCAGACAAGTGCGGCTGAGCCGTGCGCATGTAACTCTCCCACGCAATCCGGACAAAACAAAGCCACGGCGGGGCGGTTTACACTCGTGAGGCCGCACACCTGTGTCCTTGCTTGCTTGCATCAGCGACCCAGCTTCCACGGATGGGGATGGCCCCGTCGTGAGTCGAGTAAGTGCGTGCCGCCCACGGCCTACACATACACCATGCGGGCCCGGCAGCAGAAGTGCCGGGCCAAGAAGGCCTAGTCGAGTCCTCCACTCAAGACCGGTGTTTATCAACACAACCATTGCAGTAGCACAGCTCAGCAGCTCAGCACCTCCCACACGCCTTTTGATAACCAATCACTCATCATAGCGGAGGCATGGAGGGCGGCGTCATTGCCTCTCGATCCCCCTCTCCATCCCCCTACTGTCACAGCCCCGCAGTTCCTTCTCGCCTTCACAACCTACCAACCAAGTAAAGACCCTTTCAGTCCATATGCCCCCGCCTAGCCGAAGAGAAGACATTGACGATAAACAAATTCACCTTCCTCCCCTGCACGCACTCCCCCTACCCCCTCGCTGCCCACATTTTCCTTCGATCCCCTGGCCTGCACCTCCCCTGGTGCATCCCCCCTCTCCCCTGGCTATCCACACTTTCCATCGAAATGCCCTTTTTGGAGTGGGGGCGGCTCGGCCTCCCCCCTAATTCTGGTGCGCGCCGTGAAAATCTCAGGGCCCAAAAATAACATTTCACGAATTCTGATATCACGAATCACGTGTAGCAGTACGGTACCCGGTTGGCCCACTATCCAGTTGCAGAGGCCGTGTGAACACACGTCATGCTGAAAGCCAGTTGAGGTGGGTATTACGGATTTCACAGTGCAGACGTTGAATGTTTGGCAGGCCGGCAGCACCGCACGACAGCCCAACAATCATACAGCTAACATGGAGCACAACCCAGCACAAGCGCAGCCATCCACAGACCACCAGCACTTCATGTTATTTACCAGTATATGCTTCATTCGGCTACAGAGCTGAAACACGGACGGATACCCCACCCCAATGCAAAAGCTGCAACGGCAAGGCCGCTAATACATTACCGACTTTAGTGCAGCATCAGGGGGGGCGGAGGAGGGCCTCCTAATCATGTTGTCCATTCAGGTCTTTGATGCCAAAATCTAGTCCGCTGGAACACATGCCAACCAGCGACACGCCGAAGTCATCAGCACCGCAAGGATGTTCACGCGACACCACATCACGGCCTCATCATCGCGGCTCCCTGCTCCATCCCGCCAGCAACAAACATACCAGTCGCCTGCAGCCCTTATAGGTGCAGGCGCCGCACAGCCTTGGTAAGCAACCACGATTCCACCCTCGGCGGTGCCTAGCCACCCTGCCACCAGGCCTGCACACCAAGCACCACCAGCAGCGCCGCCACGCGGCTGCAGCTACCGCGGCGGTAGTACCGCACCGCCGCCACAGCCTAGTCGTACAGCTCTGTGCGCAGCAGTCGCTGCTGGCGGCTGCATGTTGCCGCTGCCAGCTAGCCTCCTGCCACGTCCTGCATGGCGGCCAGCAAGCACCGCGCCATGAGGCTGTGCTGCACGGAGAGTTTGCCACCCAGCTCGGCTGCGATAGCGGCAAGAGAATGGCAAGCTCCTACGACAATGCCTACAGTGCAGCGGGAGCACTGCTCATGCTCATGACCTCCGACAACTCCGACACGCTGCCTGCGATGGGCGGCTCCTGCAGCTCTGCAGTTTGAAGCCAGGTGAGGACGTTATCTATGGAGCGATAGTCCTGGAAGGTCCAGCTCCCAGCCATCTTGCCATCCCGCTGTGCCCGGTCAAGGCTCAGCTGCGCATGGGCGCTGAGCACGTGGCGAAAGGGAACCACCGTGCTGCTGTAGTATTGTAGGGGCCGCGCCTCCAGGTCGCCGTATGTTGTGTCGCCGAACGCATTGGTCAACTCAGCATAGCCCTTGCCATTGGGCCCTCCCAGCCACTGGCAGTCGGCGAGCTTCTGTGACTTGAGCTCGTCCCACAGGATGTGTAGCTTGAGCTTCTTGTCCGCCGGGTCCTCATAGAAGCAAACAGCCGAGTTGTTATAGGCGCGCTTGATGGGCTGCAGGGAAACACGTGATGTGGCGGGTCACACTGCTGCAAGAACATAGGCAGCGCCAGCCGCCACAGGCTAGAT